TAACTATAGCCATCTGATTTTTGACATCTGATTTTTGACAAAGGTGCCAATGAAAACAATATATTGGGAAAAAAGATAGCCTTTTCAACATGTGGATATCCAGTATCCACACCATTTTTGTTGAAAAGGCTGTCTTTATTTTTAAAGAAAAAAAGATCTTTGATCCATTTTGAATTGATTTTTATACAGGGTAAAAGTTGGGGATCTTGTTTCAGTTTTACTCTGTACAAAAGTCAATTTAAAATGGATCAAAGATCTTAATGTAAGATCTGAAACTTTGAAACTACTACAGGAAAACACTTGAGAATATAGGCAAATATAGTGACTTTTTGAATAGGAGTCTAATTGCTCAGGAAATAAGGGCAAGGATTTAGAAATAGGATGGCATCAAATTAAAAAGCTTCTGCATAGCAAAGGAACAATTACTAGAGTCAAGAGACAACCTACAGAATGGGAAAAAATCTTTTGCTAGCTATTCATTGGATGAAGGATTAATATCCAGAACATATTTAAAGTGCTGAAATAAATAACAAAAGATCAAACAATCCAATTTTTAAAACAGGCAAATGAATTGAATAGACAGTTCCTAAAAGATGAAATACAATGGCTAATAAATACAAGAAATTTTCAAGGGCTGACGGTAAGAGTGCCTGCCTAGCAAGCTTGGGGCCCTGAGTTCAAACTCCAGTGCTGCCAAAAAAAAAAAAAAAAAACTTTTAAAGAAAGAAAATACATGTTCAATGTCCTTAGCAAAGGAAATGCAAATCAAAATGACACCAAGATTTCATTTCACACCAGTAAGAATGGCTATCAAGAACACAAACAACAAATGCTGATGAGCATGTGGGGGGGAAAAAAGGAACATTTTACACTGTTGATGGGGGAATGTAAATAGTGCAGGCACTGTGGAAATCAGTATGGAGGTTTCTTTCTTTTTTTTTTTAAACAAACAAACAAAAAAACCCCAGACTTTATTTGTTCAGTAGTTTTATATTTACAGCAGAATTGAGAAGAAGGTACATAAATTTCCCACATTTTCTCTGCTCCCATACACACAGTATCTCTTATTACCAACATCCCCTACCAGAGTGTTATTTTCATCACAATGTGTGAACCTACATTGACAACATCATTGTCACCCAAAGTCCATGTTTTACATTAGGATTCACTCTTTTTTTATTCATTTATTCACATGTGCATACATTGTTTGGGTCATTTTTCCCCCCTGCCCCCCTCTCCCACCCTCTCCCCCCTTCCCCCCTTGGTACCAGGCAGGTCCTGTTCTGCCTTTATTACTAATTTTGTTGAAGAAAAGAGACAAGCCTAATAAGGAAGACAAAGTAAGTGTTTTTGCTAGTTGAGTTGAGGATAGCTATACAGAAAGATTCCTAGCATTGCTTTCGTGTACATGTGTTATGACCCATGCTGATTCAACTTTAACTGATCTTTACCCTGGTTACTGATCCCCTTCTCATGATAACCTCTGTTGCTTTAAGGTTTCTGTATTTGCTCCTCTGGAGTGGGGACATCAAAACGCTTTCATATTTTTGGGTTTTCCTACGCTATTTCTATATCACCCAAATGTGCTCTCGCCCTTATCATGTGTCCCAAGTCCGCAACAATTGCTGCATTTGCCCTAGATCTGAAGTCCGCACATGAGGGAGAACATACGACTTTTGGTCTTCTGAGCTTGGCTGACCTCACTCAGAATGATGTTCTACAGTTCCACCCATTTACTTGCAAATGATAAGATATCATTCTTCTTCATGGCTAAGTAAAATTCCATTGTGCATAAATACCACATTTACTTGATCCATTCATCAATAGTGGGGCATCTTGGCTGTTCCCATAACTTGGCTATTGTGAATAGTGCTGCAATAAACATGGGCAGTTCTATTTGTTAAGAATAGGCAGTTCTATGTTTAGATTTTTAAGAAGTCTCCATTTTTTTTCCAGAGTGTTTTTATCAGCTTGCATTCCCACCAGCAGTGTATGAGGGTTCCTTTTCCCCCACATCTTTGCCAACACATGTTGTTAGTGGTGTTTTTTATGATGGCTATTCTAACAGGGGTGAGGTGGAATCTTAGTGTGGTTTTGATTTGCATTTCCTTTATGGCTAGAGATGGTGAGCATTTTTTCATGTGTTTTTTTGCTATTTGAATTTCTTCTTTTGAGAAAGTTCTATTAAGTTCAGTTGCCCAGTTTTTAATTAGTTCATTGATTTTAGGAGAGTTTAGTTTCTTAAGTTCCCCGTATATTCTGGTTATCAGTCCTTTGTTTGATGTATAGCTGGCAAATATTTTCTCCCACTCTGTGGGTCGTCTCTTCAGTTTAGAGACCCTGGGGGTTTCTGAGAAAACTAAAAATAGAACTGCCATTTGATCCTGCTATAGCACTCCTGGGCATACATCAGAAGGAAGGTAAGTCTGTATATTACAGAGATAACTGCACACTCAAGTTTATTGCAGCACTGTTCATGATACCTAAACTACAGAATCTCCCTTGGTGCCCATTGACCAGTGAATAGATAAAGAAAATATGGTATATATGCACAATGGAGTATTATTTGGCCATAAAGAAGAATGAAATTATGTCATTTGCAGGAAAATGGATGAAAGTGGATATCATTATGTTAAGCGAAATAAGCCGACTGAGAAAGACAAATATTGCATGTTTTGTCTTATGTGCAAAATATAGACCCCCAAAATGAATGACATGAGTGCAAAATGGTACTATTTTGGGGGGGAAGACCAATTGGGAGGGGGAGGACACAAGGAAAGGGTAATGGGAGAGGTGAATGGGTGAAAATGATTAAGTATTTATATCCATGTATAAAATAGAATAATGCAATGCAATAAAATGGTTTAAAAAGGGGGAGAGGAGATAAGAAGGGGTAATAGAGAGGGTGAATTTGACCAATGTACATTATATGCATGTATGGAAATATCACAATGAAACCCTTTGTACAACTAACATATGCTAATAAAAAGAACTTAAGGATATAAATAATATGTCTGTTCAGTTTGAATCCTCCCACCCACATGTCCCCAAAACTTCTAGATGAATTCATTATTAAATATACATAATACAGATAATAATATTGCAAAATTAAGTCATTAGATGTCTAGTCACTTCCTGGATGTGCTGCTATACAACTAAAAATAAAGCTATTTAGAACTTCCCCTGAAGAAAAAAAAAAGACAAGCAAAAAAAAAAAGTTTAGGACTATGAAGTGCTTTGAACATGGAAAAATATCTGGCTGTTGCTGAATGGGAAATTCCTGGTATTTATAAAAATTAAGCCACACATGTGTTTAGATATAGCAATCTCACCTTTTGGGATTTATTCTGTAGAAATAATTGTAAGAGAAATTAATGACCATGTGATCCACTAATCCCAGTACTGGGTATATATCCTAAGGAAATAAAATCAGTATGAAATAAAATCTGCACTCCCATGTTTATTGAAGCACTAGTCCCAATAGTCAAGAGTTAGACTCAACCTAAGTGTCCCACAACGAATGAGTTGGATAAACAATGGGAATATTATTCAGGCATGAAATAATGAAATCTGTCATTTGAGATATGCATGAATCTGGAGGACACTATATAAGTGAAACAAGCCTGACACAGAAAGACTGCATGGTTTCACTCATATATGGAATCTAAAAACAGTTGATTTCATAGAAGTAAAGAATAGAATAGTGGTTCCCAGAGACTGGGGAGGGGTTGGGAGAGGCAAGGATGGAGAGAGGGTGGTCACCAAGTACAAAGTTAAATAAAAGGAGTAAATTCTGGTGTTCTACTGCACAGAGACAATAAAATATTATATATTTCCAAACAGCTAGAAGAGAGGTTTTTTAAAAAAATGTTTCCGGTATAAAGAAAAGATTAATGCAGCACCCATAGTAGTGGCCCATGCCTGATCCCAGCACTTGGGAAGCACAGGCAGGAGGTTAACAAATTCAAGAGCAGCCTGGGGCTGATGGAGAGGCTCAAGTGGTAGAGTGCCTGCCTAGCAAGCTCAAGGCCCTGAGTTCAAACCCCAGTACCACCAAAAATAAATAAATAAAAACCAGCAGCCTAGATCATTCAGCAGTAACTGAGATCCTGTCTAAAAGAACCAAGGGCAGGGAATGTAGCTCAGTAGTAGAGCACCTGCATGTGCAAGGCTCTGGTTTCAATCCCCAGAACTGTAGGAAAAAAAATGAAAAGTGGGTAAAGTGATGAATATGCTAACTACTCTCATTTGATCAAGTTGTATACAGGTATCAAAACATCAAATTGTACCCCATAAATGCATACAATTAGAAATTGTTAATAAAATATAGATTCTTCTATACGCATGGCTTTTAAAAATTGCACACTATTTTATTTCATGGATTCTCTATAATCGAATCAATCCCCTATGGGACTGTACAGTTTTAAGTAAATGTAGTTTCTCCTTTTATAAAGTCTCCCAGCAGCCTTGCAAGAATTGGTAGATAGCTCACCAACTGCATTCTAGAAAGTTTTGGATACTTCCAGAACACTTGAAGCCGCTAGTCAGAATGGTTTTCCTTCACGCGCGCATGCGATCTTCCCAGATACCAAAACTGTACTCTTCAGAATTCGAAAGACTTGTCTTATCCTGCCCGTTAATCATGCAGCCTAAGTGGGACTCCGTTCCAGAAATCCCGTACACCCTCTCCCAACTCTTGCCTCATCCCCGCCCTTCCCCACACGCCGCCGCCCCGCCTCCCCTCGTGCTTTCCCGCTCGCGGCCTGGCCTATGGTAAACGCCAAAAATTAATTAGGGGCGGGGAACAAGGAGCGGCTGTGTGGAGGTCGCCATATTTCTGTACGGCCTCGAGGCTGCCCGGGCAGTTGGTGGGTCGGGAGAGGCGCTGATAGGGCGGGGCCGCCGCTCGGCTCAGCCGGCCTCACCCCTCCCGCTGGGGACAGGTGGCTGCAGTGCGCCCCGCCTCCGCCAGCTGCGAGTGGGAGCGAGGGAGGGCCAGTCTCGGACGGCCGCCGCTAGCTGCGAGTGGGAGAGCGTGAGGGCTAGCTCAGGACGGCCGGGCTCGGAGTCCGGCGGCAGCAGACGAGTATCGTGGCGGCGAAAAAAATGCTTCTGTACCGAGGGGCCCCTGCGGGCCCAGGCGCGCCAGGCGTCGGGCTGGCCCGGCCAGGCAGCGTCCCGCAGGCCTTCGGAATCCGCTTGAGCACGGTAGGTCGGGGGGCCCGAGGGGGCGGACTCGTGCGCGGGCCCCGGGGCTGCGGGGGGCGAGCGGGGAGGCCCCGGCGGGCCGAGTCCTCACGCGGGACGGGACCTTCTCTCGCCCCCAGATGAGCCCCCGCTTCCTACAGAGCAACTCCAGCAGCCACACGCGACCCTTCAGTGCCATCGCGGAGCTGCTAGGTGAGTGGCGAGGGCGGGCCCGGCCGCGTTCGCCCGAGGCAGTGGTGCCAGCGTGGTGCCGCAAACGCAAGAGGAGCGCGTACAGCCAACGCAGGGTGGGCCGGGGCTGGGGTGGGGGCGTAGGGAGCGGCCCGTGCTCCGCCAGCCGAGGAGGGGGGTCGGCTTTCTCACGAGGGACGACGTTTCGCGAATAAAGCGGAGGAAACAAGGTGTACCGAACAGTTAGAACCCAGTGTGGTTTTTCTCTTTGGCTCGCGATGTTCAGGGCACTTTAGGATAGCTTAGTTAATAACCAAAAGGAGATGCATAAAAATATCGGGCCCCAAGGCTGCTGGGCTCCACAGGGGGCTGGCGACGCATGGAAGACTCCAAGCTAGCAAAGAAGCATGGCAGACAACCGGGTAGGATCATTGGGAAAGATCTGGAAAAAAGTTCTTTAACTTTTGAGACAAGCAAGTCTAGGAATGATGGGACATCTCTTAAGAGATGACACGAGTGCATTTGGCTCCCCGGGACTGAGAAGGTCTGGGTCCGTAGTCCAAGAGCGCCCTCACACCGCTGGAATGAATATTAAGGACTTAACCTCTCACTCCACCGGTGTTTGCTTTTAAAGCGTTTTTCAGTTGCTCCTTTGAAACCAAGAACACTTATGCCCTAGTGTGCTAAATTACTTGTGCGGAAAGCAAAGAAGACAAGCGATCCTGTACAAAATGTAGCAGCATACACAACACATTATAAATACTTCAAAAATTGAAAGGAGAGACATTTATGAGGCTAATTAGCACAGAATAAAATCTCAAAAATGGTTTCAAAGCTTGAACGAGCCCCAGTCCTAACCTAAGTCATTGCTGTGGCCATGCCATCAGAGTTGTTTTGGTAAAGAAGTTGGTGGGCAGCGAGAGAAGAGTCAGGAGAGTTATTTGGAAGGCAGTGGAGAATTTTTGATGATTTGTTTGACCATAACACCTAATGCTTCTGTATGTATGACTTAATTAGAAGATTCAGGGGGAAAAGTGGCATTGATACGTTTTGAATCCTAGAAAACAGGGACTATATCTTTTAGGTTTTATACTATGCCTCCAGTGACCTGCTGCAGAGTGGAATAAGATCTATGTGCATGTGACTTACAAAAAGAGACAAGCAGAGAAAATTAACAACATAGTGGGAGACGGGAAACAGAAATGTGAGCAATTTGTTGTTCTTTCACAGTTGCACCCTATTATTGTACCTGTGTTGTATTGTGCATGTTGTACTTTATAGGTGATTTAGTGAGTTTTCAATTTCTAATTTTTAAATATATGTAATTTTGCTTTAAGCAATGGCCTAAGATGTCTAGCATGGGTGTGAATATGCACGTTATAATATACATACACGCATGCATGCATACATACGTACACACATAAATTTTAAAACCAAATCACAGGACTAGAGCTGGAGCTCAAGTGGTAGAGAGCCTCAAAACCCTGAGTTCAAACCCCAGTACCATCAAATGAACAAACAAAAAACCAAATCACAAATATTTGTGGTAATATAAAGTAGGGAAAAGGGACACCAAAGTGATAGCTGGTAAAACAAAGCTTTCATTTTGGGTTTTCCTTCGACAGTTTTCTCTACTTATACATTAATTTTCTACTGAATCATTCACTTAGTAAATATTTATTGTGCATCCATTGTACACAGGGCCACTGTGCTGGGTACCAAAATGAATACAACACATATTCACTCTTCCAGTAGGGGACATAAAGCATGTAAAGAAGATTTATGATTTGTATAGCAACAAAATAGAAAATGATATGTCAGCAAAGATGATGCACAAGTGTAGAAGTTCAGAGGGAAGAGGAATGACTTCCCATTTGTTGGGAAGAGGAGGGTTAGGAAAGGCTTTCTGGAGGAGGTGACATTTGAGCTGAAATTTGAAGGATTGGGACATGTGGATATGGTAGGGGAGAGGGCACTCCAGTTGAAAAGAACAACTGTATGAACAAAAGCATGGAGAATACTGAGTCTTGAATTTAATTAGAGACATGGGGTTCACAAATAGGAAAAGCTATAGGTCCTTAGAAAGTTTATGAAGAGTCTTCACAAGTATCTTTTTAACTTTACCTTTTAAAGGTAACAGTATTATTTTTCCATCCTACAGATGATGAAACAGAGGTTCAGAGAATTAATATACTTTTCCAAGATTCCATGTCTAATAAGTGGCAAATCCAGGATTCAAGCAAAAAGACCTGCTTTTTACTACAAGTTTCAAGTAGGAAATGAGGTTAGAAAAGTGAGCTGGAACCAGGATGTGACTGTGAGAGGCTTTGGTGTTTGACCTGTTAGCTTGAAGTTTTCTGACCAGGAGAATGTCATGATCAGAGCTGTACTTCAGGAAAGTGACTTGCAGCAGTGTATTAAATGGATTGGAGAAGAGATAGACATGGATTTGAGAGACTAGTTATGAGGCTGCTACAATAATCCAGATGAGAGAGAATAAACTCTAAATAAGAGAATGATGGTGGGAATAGGAAAAAAAAGAGCTTATGGATATATAGGACAGAAAGAAAGAGGGATTTTTTTTAAAAAAAAGGATCTTTGTAGTATTGAGCATCGAACCCATGGCTTTGTGCATGCTCGACAAGTATTCTACCACTCAGCTACAACTCCAGCTCAAAAAATAACTTTTGGATTTCAAACTTACGGACATTTGAATGCTGACTCTGTGTGTGTGTGTGTGTGTGTGTGTGTGTGTGTGTGTGTGTGTGTGTGTAATAGGAAAAAATATGCTTGTGACAGGAGGTAATGACCTTACTTTAAGGCAAGAATACTTTCATCTACTTGCAAGGCAGCATCCTGGTCTTGGTGACCTTGCAAGTATCTATGTACTGAAACATAAAGGCTTGTGAAGAACTAAAGTGGTCTCCCATCTTATCTCTCCTGGGAGGCTGGCTTCAAACAGTTTTTCCTTACCTCCCCGGTTCTAAATAAGGTAGGAGGCCTCAGTTACAATGCTTTTTTAGAAGAGATTCCCCAGGATTCTCATGCGCTTGCCAAAGTGATGGGCAAAAGGAAGGTAGAAATAGGGTCCTCTAGCATGGGCCAGGTTAGGTAAGATTAGACTCCTTTGGATCTAGCAGCACAGTAGATTGTGCAGCCAGGTTAGCGGATAGAGACACTCTAGGATCTAACAGTACCACTCTCACCTAAGTAGTGGGTGAAAGGAGAAGTATAAGGGTTCTATCTGTTCATGTACTAAGAAAGAGGATGGATTCCCTGGTATCTGGTAGCATATGTTACATGTTGGCCAGTTTTAGAGGGTTAAACAGCAAGAAGTAGAATTGAAACTAGCAGCAGATTAGTGCCTTATTTTAAGTGCATCTATTGAGGCTGATACTATTATTATTATTATTTCATTTGTTAAGGTCAAGAGAAAGACCACATAAAACAAAGTAAGTGCAAAACTGTGTTTGCCAGTGCCTGTCCACTGATCTCACTTTCCCTGCTGCTCCAGCTGATCCTGGCCTCTCATGTGCCCCCTCCCCCCGTACTCCATGAGCTTCCAGCCAAGGAGATAAAATATCTAGCTGCTCCTGGCAGCTACTGTGTAACTCTTGAAGTGCTTGTGCTTAAACTCTTTGGTATATTCCTATTAAAAAACACCTAGTAAAATTTGGACAACACTTGGAATGGAAGATAGTGATTTTGCCAGCTGATTCATTCAATGAACTGTTGTATAAATGTATAGTTGGAAAATTAATATGTGTTATTTGTTTGGATTGTGAATGTTCATAAAGCATTAAAGAAATTTCTCAATATCCAGTGTTTTATCCATGTATAAATGATGTCTAATTTGTTGACAGGTTGTATCAGTCTCAATGGTTTTAGTTGTCTACCCACAGGAAGCCCTGCTTGCCAAGTAAAATTTCTTGAAAGACTATAGACAGCTATATATGTTGGATCCTTCTGTCAGTTAAAGAAAAAATACCTGTATTTCTGATAAAGCTGCTATTTCATACCAACTTGTAACTCCTGCCCAAAATTATCCCAGTTATCTTGCCACATTATAGTGGGCTTCGGCCCCACCTAGAACTTAAAGATCAACTATATCAGGCCTCTTAACCCCCTTTCTGGGGCTGTGGGTGATACCTTACTGTTCAGATTTTTTCAGGTTACAATCAGTAATAGTTTTTATCAATGACTGGCAATACCCTAATGGCCTCTGAAATTAATCTGTGTCTTGTTTTATTTGGTGGACATTTCACGCATACAAGTGGTTGTAACTGATACTATTAATTGTATTGTAAAAATGCATATTTTGAATATGTGTAATAATTTTCTTGATTGGAAGGGATGAATGCTTCCCATAGAGAAATGACAGGATTTGATCAGTGGTAATGGGATAAGTATACAACCAGGATCCCACCTGGCTCTCTCTCAGCCCAGCCATGTGGTGTCAGTAAAGCAATATAGGATGTCAGAGCCAGGGAAGGTATCTGTCTTGTTTAAAGAGCTCGTAGACACAGAAATGATTAAAGAACCTATCTGTGTTAGTCTAGTTTGTCACTATCACAAAATACCTGAGACTGGGTACTTTATAAGTAGGGGTTTGTTTGGTTCACAATTTTGGTGGCTAGAGATTCAAACAGCTTGGTGCTAGCATTCTGGCAAGAGCCACCCACCCCTGGCTATATGTATCACAACAGGCATTACAACATGACAGAGAAACCAAAAGGGAACGCCTTGTGAAGGAGTGAAATACACAGAGCGGCCTTGTATTTTAACAACCCCCTCTAGTGGGAATTAATCCAGTCTTTTCAGACCTGATAGCATTAAGCCCTTCCCAGGGCAGCATCCTCAATGACTTCGTTCTCCTTGTACTAGGCTGTACTCTTAAAGGTTTCACCACTTCAACACTACCACACTGGGGACCAAGATTACAGCACATCAACCTTTAAGGATAAACCATATATAAACAATAGCGCTATCCAGCAGATTGTACAGAATGCCTTCCCACTCATGCCAGTGAGCCCTAATGATACTTTTGAGCCATATATGTCAGTGACTGACAATTGTATAAACTGGTACCTGTGGCAGAAGATGTGGTCATTTGTACCCAGGGGATGTCATGCATGTGTTAGAATTAAATTTGTTGTCTTTGGAGTCTTAAATAATTAACCTGTTGTGAACATGTGACTCGGAGGAACATGTGACATTTTTTGTGTATTTTTTTCTATTTTAATTCAGTGTTTTCCATTTCATGAGAGGGTAGACAGCCTCACCTTTAAGACCGTTACAGACTGACTCCTTCAATGGTTTTTGTACTATAAACAGGAATGGTGATAATATCTGTGTTCTTTAACAGAGGAAGTGATATTTAAAAAGTAGAGGATAAAATTATCACAAATTATAATGTGTGAAATACGCATCTGTTTTTTAACCGAGATTGCTGGTTCGACTTTTTACTGTATCTACCCTCACTATATGTATTTTGAATAGTAAAGTAGCTAAAAGACAGTAAGTGATAAGGCAAAATCAGAGCAGAATGCTTTTGAAATAGTAGTTAGTCTTCTTACAGACCCCAGAGTTTAATGGGAGAAAGGCAGATTGCAGATCAGCCATTATATAGACCCTAGAAATCAGCTTCATAACTTCTGCCATCATATCTGTTGTTTTCCCTAACTCAGAATGTGCGCTTCTGTTAATGCCCTGAGTACCTCTAGGACATCCATGTGAGAAGACTGAAGGACAGTTTTCCATGTCTTGGGAAAACTAAACTTGAGATTTTGATAGAACATTGGAAAAGGGGGTCTAATATTACAGATTTCTACCTTTTTCAGATAATGCTGTAGATCCAGATGTGTCTGCCAGGACGGTCTTTATAGATGTTGAGGAGGTCAAGAATAAATCTTGTTTGACCTTTACTGATGATGGATGTGGAATGACACCTCACAAACTCCACCGAATGCTCAGGTAAAAATGTTTTCATTCTCTCTCTCTTATCTTGACTTGATGAACTCCACTTAAGGCTTAATAATTTTCTTTAATACTTTACTTTCCCTTTATTCACTCAACAAATATTTATTAAGCATATTGTAGAGTCAGGGAACTGATTATGAAACAGTGTCCCTGCCCTCACAAAACTTACAGTCTGGCTGGCAATTCAGACAATTAAGCAATTATCGCACAATAAAATGCAATAAGCATAATGCTAGGAAAACATGGGATATATGGAATGAGTCAACAGGAGAGCCCAGTCTGATCCCAGAGGTTACCAAAAGCTTCCTAGATGAAATATTTATGCTGAGCTCTAAGGATGAGTAGAATTTAACTAGGTAAAAAGGTGAAGGGAGCAAGGAATGGCAGGTCAAGCAAAAAGAACAGCATATATAAAGACCTAGAGGCCTTCATTGATCTGAGACCTTCTCCAATTCCTAATTAACGTAAACTCACTCAAGTCAGAAGTATTAGAGTTGAGAATGTCTTGTGACTTAGAACTGTGAAGTGCCTAGGTATAATCAAGCTCTATGAAAGATAGAAGACATTCACACATACAATCTTTGGAAGGTTTGCGGTAGAGTTTTAAAGTTAGGGAATTCTCTTTTCCAACTGTTTAAACTGGGGATAAATCTCTACTGCCATTCTCAACTTCATTTACTTTAAAATGCTTATAGTTGAGAATGTATGTTTGTGCTTTATTATCTTCACATATCACTCAGTGCAAGATGAATGTTTCCTCAACTCTTTGTCTCTTGCTTTTTAGCAGATGAGGTTGATTACTCTCCATGTGGCTTCCTGAAATAGAGTGTGTGAAGCATGTATAACAGTTGAGGGGTGCTGAGGAGGAGGGAAAGGACCCAGAACCCTAAAAATGGAAAACAAATTCCTTTGGTTGTAGTTCTCCTTGAAAGTATTTTAAATCAGTAGCCCTGTTTGTGGGAGAAATCTCTTTGGTCTATCAAAGAAACAAAAATGAAATTTGGTCAAATAAGTGGTTATGTTTTACTGCTCAACAGTATGTATGCCTTGTGTCTCAGATCCTCCTAATTAGAATATTTACTAAAGCCTCTAGAATTGAGACAAAAATGTGACTTAGTATGTTGGTGAAGGTAGAGTTGACCCTTTCCTTTAACTTATAGCATCAGTTTTTTTCTCCTAAAGTTGATATTATATATAAGAATAGATAATATAGATGAGAGGGAACCAAAATATTTATATGTCTAGTTCTGTATGTAGTAGTTTTTAATCCCTAAAATCACTTATCTCCTTAATGACACCTTCCCACCATACCTTGTCCCAGTGACAGGGACATCAAACAATAGGTGCAGCAAATCCAATCATCTTCCATTTTGTATGTGGAAGTTCTTATGTGAAAGTAAGGTAAGTGTGAAAAAGAGGATAATTTCAAAATAGTTGCAATAATTTTTTGTTGCATTTTCATTCAATAAATTCTTACTGATCATCTATGTGCAAGGCACTGGAAATAAAATGGTACACCAGACAGACATGATCCTTGCTCTCAAAGCATTGACAGTTTAGTGAGAAAGAGAAGTTGACAAGTAATACAACTAAATAGGCTGTTTTACCAGTGATAAGTGCTAGGAAAAAAAGAGTATAGCTTCTTTGAGAACATACAACAGAAGGATCTAATGTAGCTTAGGAAATGAAAAAGGCTACTCTAAAGAAATGTCATTCAGCTGGACACCAGTAGCTCACGCCTGTAATCCTAACTACTCAGGAGCCATAAGTCAGGAGGATTGCGGTTCAAAGCCAGCCCTGGCAAATAGTTTGCAAGACCCTGTCTTGAAATACCTAACACAAAAAAAGGGCTGGTGGAGTGATTCAAGGTATAGGCCCCAAATTCAAGCCCCAGTACCACAAAACAAAGAAAAGACGTTGAAAATATGTAGGATCAGTATCATCCATTCAAAATTTTGTTCTCTACCCAAGGAGTAAAGCAGGCACAAGCTTCTTTAGCCATTGCGTTTTCTACATCAGGCTAAATATGTTTACACTGATTTGCCCTGATCACCTGTTCGTCATTTTTAAAAATTAACTTCAGGGAGCTATTTGAACGAGTCCCTAATAAACTATAGGTACTGGATTTTATTTGTGTTTGTGTCTTAAAACAAACTTGAATCAGCTAGAAGATATCATTTACTTAAAAGAGATCACTTAATCCAAGCCTAACATTTAACCAAGCTTATCTCAATTTCTTTTTATTCCTTCCTTTTTTAACTTAGTGTATATTAGTTGTATAAAATGGTAGGGTTCATTATGATATTTTCATTTATGTATGTAATGTACTTTGATCATAATTGAACTTTAGAGGCAGGTTTGGAAGTTATTAAGCATGTATTTTTCATTTTGGGAAATATTATTTTAGAAGAAACAATAGAAGTCATTGTATAAAATTGTGAAGCCTATAGAAATGGTTTCACTTATAACATTTGTGTTATCCTGTCCTCATTTTCCAACTGTTTATCTCCTTTTCTTATTTGTAGGCTGATAAAATAGTTGTGTAATAGCAGTAACAGTTTCTTCTATGAACACAATCACATGGAAATCAAAGTAAAAAGGAAAGCCAGCTAGGTGCTGGTGGCTCAAGCTGCCAGCTACTTGGGAGGCTGAGATAATGGTTCCAGGCCAGCCCAGACAAAAATGTTTGTAAGATCCCATCTCAGTGGAAGAAAAGCTGAGTGTGGTGGTGCACGCCTGTCATCCAAGTGACTGTGGGAAGTTTAAAATAGGAAGATCTTGGCCAGGTGCCCATGGCTCACACCTGTAATCCTAGCTACTCAGGAGGATTGCAGTTCGAAACCACACCCTAACTTGAAAAAACCCTACAGAAAAAAAGGGCTGGTGAAGTGGCTCAAGGCATAGGCCCTGAGTTCAAGCCCCTGGACTGCAAAAAAAAAAAAAAAAAAATAGGAGGATATTGATCCAGGCTGACCCAGGCAAAAAGTGAGACTATCTTCAAAATAACCAGAGCAAAAAGGGCTGGAGGCATGATTCAAGTAGTAGAGAGCCTGCCTAGCAAGTGTGAAGCCCTGAGTTCAAACCCCAGTACTGTCAAAGAAAAGGAAAGCCTATCATTAACTTTTTAAAGACCCACTATTAATGTTCTTTAGCTTCTGGGAATAGTGTGTGAATAAGGTAGTCCATATATTTAGCTGCTTTTTATAGCAAGATTTTCCTCTTTCAAAGGTCAAAGATTAACAACTGCCACAGAAGGCACAGATTGAAGGTATTTGCTGCTCCTGCTCAGAAGTGTACATCTTAGTAGGTCTGTTCAAAAGCAGCAGCTAGAGGATGATAGTATACTTATTAATCTCTTAATTCATTTATATTGGATGTGAGGGTGATCTGGCTGCAACATGTCACCCCATGTTGCAGGGGTTGCATTGATTACCAGGGTTGATTCTGCTGATCTGGCTGGCTGGGCGGATGTCCCCTTCCTCCCTCACTGCTCCATGTGTGTCCCTCCTGAAGCTGCATGCTTGGTCTAAGAGAGAGACCATCCCCAATAGAGGAGGACCATTCTTCAGTCAAGGGTATATGAGTAGCTGCGCTCCCCTGGTAGAACCTCCAAACAAGCTCTCATTTATATTATATATTGTATCACCACTATATCCAAGAAACAGTAATGCCTACTCTTGTATGTCCCTGGACTTTGCTAAGATTTGTTCCATTGATCGGCATCCCAATTTAAATTCATCTCTCTAGAGTTTTGTTTCTTGTGACACTTTAAGGTACTCAAGAGGATGTTGCTGTATTCTTGGTTTTTACTCAAAAAGCTGGTATCTGAGACCCTTGCTGTATAAACAATGTTGTCTTTTACATGAGAGGATAGAACAGGACTGACTTAGTGAAGAGAAACCTTTACCTGTCTAAGTCAAAATATGTCTTTGGAAAATTTTTGAGCTATACCAAGCTATAATATTTATTGCTACAATTATCACACATTATATATGGTGAGGGCTTTTATAGTTGGTAGTATTTGATTGGTACTCCACATCCATTCTGCAAATCTGCATTTAAAAAGAATACCTAGCATGGGAACTGAGGTCGGAAAAAAGCACATGAGAAGAGTTAAGTGAAACATAACATCATCAACAACAACAAATAATCCAGAGCTCATAGCTACTATCTTATTATTTTTGTCTTTTTCCATTCTGATTTTAGTCCTTCCTGAAATACAAAGGCCCACAGACTACTCTTCTGTGTTTTCAAAGGATCAGTTCTTGGAAATTACCTTTCTCTATCATTAGATTTATTTGTAGGATGCACAAAGCTATAATAAAGTTTTTACCCTAGGAGGACATAATGGTATTATTATTGCATAATATTTTGTGATAGAAAATTGAACAGTGGTCCCCTTTTTGTGGTGTAAACATAATACCACAACCTTCAGAAAATGGAAAGCAGGCATCTCAGTCCTTCTTGTTCCAAAAATAAAGTCAGGACTGAGCTGCTCAACTGTGGCATAAATATCTGTTTTATTGATGTTGGAGAAGCATCTAATCTGTAATACACAAAATCCTTCCTTAGATTATAAACTATAAGGGCAAGAATCGTGTCTTTTTTTATTAACACATAGGTCTCCAGTGCTTAGCATAATGCACAACACATAGTAGGGGCTCAGTAGATATTAAGTGAATGGTATAATGTGCAACATTGTAAGATTATTCACTTTGGAGAAAAACAGTCCTTAAAATTAGTTTTATCTGTGGTGAGAGAAGATATAAGAAGAAGATAATAATTTTCTAGATATCATGTCTTTAAATTTTTTTAGATTCTGTTACTTTGTTGTGTATCTAAGTATCTGAATGGAAAATAAGAAAGGGAAAGTTTCTGGCTCCTAGATTATGCTCATCATAAAGAACTACAGAGTTTGCTGAGGTGACTCAGTGAGAGGCCCTTAATAGAACAAGAGACTTTATACTGCAGCTGTTTGAAGATATTCAGAGGCAGAACTACCTATTTTTATCTCTTGGCTATATTCCAATGAACTGTACCAGCAGATGGAGCAGAGGGTAAGAATTGGAAGGGTTATCCTTTGGGTGGAGAGTTGAAATTGTCAAGGTATGTAATCTCTGACCTTAAGATTTCTAGAGGGTCATATAACCAGGTTAGGAGATACCTAGTCTCTTACCTTTGATCAGTGCCAGAATCTGGTACTTTTCTTTCTTCTCCAGATTAACTCCCCTTTTCACCTTACCCTAACTTTACTTCTAGCAATCAGGGCCATTATATCTAGACAAGAAAGGCAGCTGCACTAGGCTTTTGCCAGCACTCTGTTATTACTAAAAAGGGGCCTTCTTTACATTTACAAAGTGTGACTCTACCACTATGGAACTATATAAGTACACTTAAACTACACAGGAAAATTAGTCCCATTACCCCATAGTGATTTTCTATGTTTTTAAATTAAAAGTTTTGCCTGGAAACACTAAAAGGAGTAAAAAGGGAAGGACTTTTTACAAGTGTTCTTCAAGTGTAAGCGAAGCATTCTGCCTGTAGTCTATTTTAGCATGCTTTTGACTTTTCTGATTTCTTTTTTCCTTGTGTAATTACAGCTTTGGCTTTACAGACAAAGTGATAAAGAAGAGCCAATGTCCCATCGGTGTCTTTGGTAATGGTTTTAAGTCAGGCTCTATGCGGCTAGGAAAGGACGCTCTTGTCTTCACCAAGAATGGGGGTACTCTCACCGTTGGACTCCTATCACAGACCTATCTGGAATGCGTCCAGGCCCAGGCAATTGTTGTACCAATCGTTCCATTTAGCCAGCAAAACAATATCCTTTCTGGAAATGGGAAATGTTGATTAAGAATTAGTCTAATCTGACTATTTTAAAAGGAACCTCTTTCTTCGGGTCAAATTTAGCTACCTCTTAACATTTCATAATTCAAATAAGTTTTAATATTTAGAGAGAAACTCAAATGTCTTAAAATGTACTGGAATTTCCCTCTATTAAATATTTTTAAAATAAGTGGGAAATGACAGAAGTTTAGAAATGTTTTTGCTATATTAAAATTTTTATTATTATGTAGTTTAATCTATATAGGATATCTCTCCCTAATCACCACCCTGTGGTAAAGTTCCCAGGATGTTGTCTTTTTTTCCCCTAAGGATAGGTATTTACTTGCGTTTATACTCCTAGATGCATACTATTTGTTTGTTAGCATTTCTGATAGCAGAACTGCTCATTTGCCTATACCCAGGCAAGCTGTTATTGCTATTAGACACCAGGTTGTCTTAACAGGAGCAGTATAGCAGTAAGTTTTGAACTTACTGCTTCCAAATAGTTCAGTGTTTCAGCCTCTTACAGTTTCATAAATACAGCACTGTCTTTATTTACATTGCATCCTTGAAGCTGTGTTCTGAAGGTGGAGTTTCTCTACAACCTTTCTTTGTTTTCCCCTTCCCTTTCTTCTGTAGCAGTAATACCTATGCTTTATGTCTTTATTTTTGTATAAATCCAACCCAAAGAATACTCTTCCTACTTGATAGCATCCTGTTAAGATACTAATTTTTCTAGCTGGTGCCAGTGGCTCATGCCTGTAATTCTAGCTACTCAGGAGGCAGAGATCAGGAGGATCGCAGTTTGAAGCCAGCCCTGGCAAATAGTTCACAAGACAGGGCTGATGGAGTGACTCAAGGTGTGGGCCCTGAGTTCAAACCCTGGTACTGCAGGAAAAAAAGGATATTTTTTCTTTGACTATGCTTGGTTTTACAAAAAATGATTATTACTGAGGATTCCTTGCCAAGTCTAGAGGCCATCTTGAACTACTCAATTTTCAACAGTGAAAATGACCTGCTATCCCAGTTCGATGCTATCCCAGGCAAAAAAGGCACTCGTGTTCTCATTTGGAATGTCCGCAGGTATAGTATTCCAAGGATTATCGATCCTAATAAGAACAGGTAGTATGATGAAGCAGATTTTAATAAATCTTTCTAGAGAAGCAGAGCAGATAAATTTTGATACATATTTCTATCTCATTGCATACCTTTCTGTTACTTTTTCTTAGTTATATTGAGATGGTGCTTCTTGTTGGTAAAATGCTGTGCATTTAAGGCAGAAATGTAGTGTAACATTATTCTAACACCCTCAGAATCCTTTATAAATACCTATTTCATATTCACAAAATATGAGATTGGTAGATGATAGTTTATATGTTTGGTAATTAAAATGAAGTGTGAAAAAGTGATAAGACTAATAAAACACATGATCTTAAAAAAATAATTAATATTAGTGCTTTTAGAGTAGCTAGAATAGAAATACAAAAGTCTTTGAAGCAGATCAATTAACTGTAATGAGACTGGCTTAAGAGCATGTCTTTAGAACTAATAAAACAATCAAGAAATACTCTGGGATACATCATTTATTTACTATTGGCATGTCAAGTGGAATGCATTTAAGAATGTATTAAGACACAAATAGTAAAAACCTTTAATGTAAAATAAGGTATTACTGGCATATAGAGTACAGTCATTCTTCCTTTTCTACTTTGGTCAAACGTGTCCTCTATTTATACTAAAATTTATACTCCAGCAATACTGATTTATACAGAGTACTAACAAAAAGAAAAAGTAAGATAGCTTGTACAGATTTATGTTCCCTGTGCCCTACTGGGAAAAACCTCTAATTGCGTTAGAATGGATCATTTTCCTGAGGTATTTCCAATGATTTACACATATTAATTAGACTTTTCCTTTGTACATTGTTTTTCAGTTATACGTACTAGGTGTTAACATAAATAAAGGATTGCATAGTCAAGTAAGTTTTGGAAAAGCTGGCTTAAAGAGAGCACACGATGTTGCTTTGTTCCAGGACTTCTCAGAGGCTTTCATATGCTAATATGCATTGAAAATGCTTAAGAGAGCAATATAATGCATAGTATTTCCCAATTTTTACAAATGTTTTTGTAGATCTTTTGTCTTGCATGGGGAAGGTGAGGTATGGGGAGGACAGGGAACTTCAGTTTTCAGGACATCTGCATTAGAGTGGGGTGGGATAGTGAAAGTCAGGATTATCCTGAAAAATCTAGAATATACTAGTATAGTGGCATGGGCTTCATACAGGCTGCATGCCACAGTGGCTGTGGTTGAGCTGTGAGACTAGAAATTAGTTTTCAGCACAGCAGCTCTGAGCTTGTGAAGTCTGGCATATAAAGGAGGTGACACTAGAACTTGAGGCTAATAATTGTTTCCCAGTTTTATTAGATCATACAACTTTTCTTTCTTCCCATCCTCCCTCCCTCCCTCCTTCCTTTCTCTCTCTCTTCCTTAAGAATATTTCCGGGCTGGGGGAGTGGCTCAAGCGGCAGAGTGCCTGCCTAGCAAGTTTGAGGCCCTGAGTTCAAACCCCAGTACTACAAAAAAAAAAAAAAAAAGAATATTTCCGGGAACTACTATTCCACAGAGCACATTTTAGGAGCTATATGTTCTGATACGCATTTTCTCTATAACCCATCATTTATTTTGAGTTTTCAGGAATAAAGATGGATCTTACATTTTTTCCCCTGGCAGTGGTTAGTGATGTAGCTATCCCAGGATCTTGGAATAGACCAAAGCTAAGTGGCCAAAACAGACTATGGGAATGCTAATGGTCCTTATGAAAAGAATACCAGTACTATTATATGATAATTCCATAAATAATATACTAGAGATCTAGTAAATATATTCTGTTTCTACAGCAATCTTTTTTCCTCCTAAGATACAGGATTAGATCTGGGGAAATCTCATTAGTCTTACCTTATGGCTGAAGTTAGCAGTTCATTTTGACTCATCAATTCATTAAATTCGGGAAAGTGATATTCTGTGGTTTATCCAGCAATAGCCAGAAAGTTGGGATCTATTTTATGATCCTTCTTTGAGGATAGCTGACATCGATTGATTTATCTGATGTCAGACATTCCACATTCCTTTTTCTTTGTTTATGAGCTTGGCATCACCACCAGTATGAAGCAGTAGATTTGTTTAGACTGGAAATACCCTTAAGTATTTGTGTGATCCACAAATTAGTTTGAAGTTCCTTTGCATAGGGAAAGAAACAGATGCTGGAGAATTGGCTCATACTGTTTCTTTTCTCTTGGGTTCCTTGTGCACTTTTTTTTTCCTGTTTGGAGCCAGTTTTTGTTAGATTAATGTTTGTTTCTTTTACCCAGAAACAAAGATGGAAAGTCTGAGTTGGACTTTGATACAGATCAGTATGACATCCTGGTATCAGACTTTGACGAAGAAGAAAAAGAGACTGGTGGGGTTACTACTGAGCTTCCAGAAACAGAGTATTCTTTACGGGTGAGTAAGAGTAGTCCTTCAACAGTGAGAGGTAGGATTTCCTATAGCGTAAAAATATTATTGAATAAGATTGAACTTTAATTATATAAAGATGGCAGTATTTTAGCCCTGTGCTAGGATTCCTTTTCACAGTCTATACTGAAACAGTTTAGATAATATTGTTTGCAGCATTTTAGTGTGGTAGTTGATGTAGTATAGCAAGGTACAGAAACTGAGCCAAATCTTTGCCCAGAAATAGGCTCAATTGGCTGGCAGTATTTTATGAGGATGTCAGTAAAATTGGCAATATGGCATAATAACTTTTCCTTCACTATTTCATAGGCATTTTGTAGTATTCTATATATGAAACCACGGATGAAAATTTTCCTGCGTCAAAAGAAAGTGACTACCCAGATGATTGCCAAGAGCCTGGCCAATGTAGGATATGATATGTATAAACCTACCTTCACAGTATCCTCACAGATACGTGTAATTGACTTCTTCATTTCAGGGTTAAATTTCTAGACATAGAAAGCCAAAAACTTGGCCTTTTCTAATTCAAGATTGTGTATTATAATACATATCCTATTATAGTGCACTCTAAGAAAGTATTTCTTTTTTTTTTGGCAGCACTGGGATTTGCACTCAGGGCCTCACACTTGCTAGGCAAAGCACTGTTTCACTTGAGCCACTCCATATTTTTTGCTCATATTTTTTGCTAGGGCTGGCCTCAGACCAAGATCCTCCTACCTACAGTCTCCCATATAGTGGGAATAACAGGTTCATACTACCACACCCAGTTTATTGGTTGAGATGGGGTCTTGCTAACTTTTTGCCCAGGCTGGCCTTGAATCATAATCTGCTCAATCTCTGCCTCCCAAGTAGCTAGGATTACAGGTGTGAACCACCACACCTGGCTGAAATATTTTTAACAAGTAATATATATTTTTAAATCTTTAGTTTAGTTATCCTAATGAGCAGCTAGGATTGAGAATCTCAGCCATAAGAAATAATCCACATCAGATTTGGTTTGTACTGGGATTTTGTTGTATTGCATTGATTCAAATAAAGTGTTGATTAGGACTTCTTAATCTTTTGGATATGGTATGGTTTTTGTTGTACTGAGTCCAGATTTAGACATAGATGGAGTTAGAATGAAAATTAAAGGTTGATATTTATAGGATGAAATGAATCGTTAACAAGTTTGACATTGATTTCCTAGTAACTTCTCAATTGGCAGCCACTCAGAAGCACTTCATTTTCAATTCTATGCTCCATTGCATGGGAAATGGATTTCAGATACTAGAGAAAATCTTAAGATGAACTATGTAAATTAGGTCAATCTTCACTGGTGGTTTTTTTTTGGTGGTACTGGGACTTGAACTCAGGACCTACACCTTGAGCCATTCCACCAGCCCTCCCCCCCTTTTGTGATGGGTTTTTTTTTTCTGAGATAGGGTCTTCAGAACTATTTGCCTGGGCTGGCCTCGAACCATGATCCTCCTGATCTCTGCCTCCTGAGTAGCTAGGACTATAGGCATGAGCTACTGGCACCCAGCAACTAGTGGTTTTTTGAGCAAAAAAAAAAAAGTCTTGGAAAGATGAGAATGCTTATGCAGTTATAAAGAATTCTCTTTTATTTTCTTGGTCCAAGAAATATGTTTATGTTGTGTTTGCTTTATTAAAGGCATTATCTTTGTCTTTATTTTCCTGAACAAAAATTAGAAATGGTGTTCTTCAGGGTTTCTTTCAGGCCAATGTCTGTCCATGCACTACATGTGTATCTCTACTCAACCCTCCTCTCCATTAAACCAGTTATCTTTTGTATTGTGGTTTTGGTTAAATGGATTCATTTAAACTAAATGAATCATAAATGATACGCCTAGTATCATTTCTAGGAGATCACTAAAGGACAAGATCATTGATGCTGACTTACTTACTCCACAGTTATCAAGACCTCTTCTCTCCCCTTTGTTCTTTTTCTTCACACTAATTTGGGTTTACTCCTGTCAGTGTTCTCCCATCCCATAATTTAGAATTTTGCAAGTATACAATAAAGAAAATATTTGACAATTAGTATCTTCAAAATGTTAATTTTATGCTGTGAGGATTTTGGTTTGTTTTGTCTTACTTCATTTTTGCTTTGTAATAAGGTCCTATGTGAAGTTTGCTTTGACTTCCTGAAGCCCCAACCATTGTATGTTCTGAGTTAGGTACCCACTTGTATTGCGTCTTTGTATCAGATCTGATGCACTCATCATATGATTTTGATGCATGTAGGTTATCATTTAAAGAGGGGTATGTTAATTTTTGCCACCATGACAGATACCTAAGAGAAATAGTTTAAGGGAGGAAAGGTTTATTTTGGCTCAGAGTTTCAGTGGTCTCAGTCCATCACGGCAGGAAGAGCATGGGGAAGCAGAGCAGCTAATATCCAGGAAGCAGAGAGAGAAAATGCCTGTGCTGGTGGGCTTTCTTCATTTTCCCCCTTTTATTCTGTCTGTGTCCCATTCTGTTTATTTTTTTGGCAGTACTGGGTGTTGAACTATGGGCCTTGCACTTGCCAGGCAGGCACTCTACCACTTGAGTCATACCTCTAGCCCAGAGATCATTTTTTAATAAGTAACAAAAATAAACTTTCATTCAATTCATTTGGATATGAAGATTCCTTACTATTTGTTTTAATGAAAATACCAGTTTCTCTTTCTCCCTTTTATATGTTTTTCATTCTCTTATCTTGGTTTTAAATTAAGTAGGAGTCATCAAAAACACATTATTATTTGAGCAGGGTGACTCACACTTGTAATCCTGGCTACTCAGGAGGCTGAGAATAGTAGTTCTAGGCCAGCCTGGGCAAAAATGTTCTCAAGACCCCATCTCAACAGAAAAAGCTGGGCATGGTAGTATGCACCTGTCATCCCAGCCACAGCAGGAAGTGTAGAGGATCATGGTCCAGGCCAGCCCAGGAAAAAAGGAAGACCCTATATAAAAAATACACACTTCAAAAAGGGCTGGAGGCATAGTTAAAGCAGTAGAGCGTCTGACTAGCAAGCACAAAGCCCTGAGTTCAAACCCTAGTACAACCAAAAAAACCCCTAATCATTTCATGTTTTACTTATAATAATTGTCATAATTTCATCAATTCAAGCTTGTTAACTTCTTCCACTGAAATATATTATAGGACTATTCATTATCTTTTAACTTTCACAGTGATTTTGTTCTTACTGTTTTTGCTAACATTGTGTTTTGTATGGTTAGTAGAACTTACTATGTTGCCTATAAATATGTAGACTTCTATTGTACCATTTAAAATTCTTCCCAGAACCTGTGAGCCCTAGAAGCAAATTGAGCAGCTTGAAAGTGTTAAGAAATATTTTGTGATTATTGAAACAGTATTTTTTGGAGGCACTGGGGTTTGTTTTGTGATTATTTATTGTTTAAAAACTGGTGGCATTTTGGTATATTTTCTTACAGTATTTTTCATGCATGTATATAGTTTTTGAATAATGCTTGAACATTTTCTAATGTTCTCAAATATTTTTCAAGGTCAAAATTTTAGGAGCTGCATAATAGACCATGTAGATTTACCAACATTCATCTAATAATCCCCTTGTGAAACATTTAAATTATTTTTCTGCAATAACTAATAGAAAAAAAATCTCTGTAAGTCATAAACCTTTTGGGCTTCCCTGTTTCTGTGGAACACATTTCTTTTTTTTTTTAATTTTTTATTATTCATTTAACCACATGTTCGTACATTGTTTAGGTAATTTCTCCCTGCCCCCCCTCATCCTCTTCTTCCTCCCTCTCCCCCTCTTCCCCCTTGCTTCCAGGCAGAACCTGTTATTCCCTTATCTCTAATTTTGTTGAAGAGAAGACATAAGCATAATAAGGAAGACAAAGAGTTTTTGCTAGTTGAGATAAGGACAGCTATACAGAGAGATTCCTAGCATTGCTTTCATGTACAAATGTGTTACAACCCAAGTTGATTCATCTCTAACTGATCTTTACACTGGTTCCTTTTCTAAGAAGAGAATTACTTGGACAAAGGTTAATAGTATTTTCAACTATTGCTACATATTTCTAAATGCCCTCTAGAAAGGTTGTGCCAATTTATATCCAGTTATATTTGTTTTTTTGCTATAAAATTTTGTTTGCTGAAGCCTCTGGTGTTTGTTTCCTTAATGATTTTCTTCTCAGAATAAGCAGGTGAGAATCACTTTTGGATTCTCTTGTAAAAATAGTAACCAGTTTGGAGTGATGATGTACCATAACAACCGGCTAATAAAGTCCTTTGAGAAGGTGGGATGCCAGATAAAGGTGAGTAGTTAATGATGCTTTGTCATAGAGGACTGAGGAGAATTTAAAATTGGAAAAGTGGTTAGATTCATTAATAGTTTTCACTTCCATCTCATGATGGTTGTTAAATTCTGTTACCAGTGACCTGTCTTGTATGGAAAAACTCTTGCTACTTCTCATTCTTCATGGATCATGGATGTTAATCAACCCAGGAACTTTACTGAATGCATTTTCTATGTAGCTGTTAATAAGAGGCAGAGTTAGAATACCAGAAACATCACCATGTGTATGAGCTTAGTAGTGTGTAAGGTTGCTTTTTCCATTAGCTTGGGAAGATAAGGCATATTGGAAGGTCTGTAAAGTCTGATCATTGAAGATCAAAATTTAGGTCCTGATTTTGTATTTATAAGCTATGTCCTTGTATGAATCATTTAACTTCTTTGAGGCTTAATTTCTCTACCCATAAAATGAAAACAAATAATAATCTTTCTTTTTCTACCTCACAGTTTACAGGGTTGAGAGTATTGGGTTTTTTGTTTTGTTTTGGGTTTTTTTGGTACTGGGGTTTGAAGTGAGGGTCTACACCTTGAGCCATTCCACCAGCCCTGTTTTGTGATATTTTTTTTTGAGATAGGGTCTCACGAACTATTTGCCCAGGCTGGATTTGAAACATTATCCTCTCCTGATCTCTACCTCCCGAGAAGCTAGGATTACTGGCATGAGCCACTGGTGTCTGGCATGGTTAAGAGATTTAAATGGAATAAAGTGTGTGAAATATTTCATAAACCAAACTATATAAATGCTGCTATCATCTTTAATGTTTTAATGATAGTTTAAAGTAGTAATTTCTACAAGTATCTCTTCCATTCCTATTCTTAGATTGCTAAAACACAATGAATGGTACACTGCTTTATATTAGTAGGACAATTATATAAGGCCCAGGATAGCGAACTTTCATTCTCTCTTGTTTTTTGTTGTTATATTATCTTTAAACAACTCATGTTTGTTCCAGTCTAATTATGCCTTGACTCAGTTCCTTCCACTAAAAAAATTAAGATTTTAAATCCCCGAACCTCTTGCATCAACTTATAATTAATTACTGCAATTCTGACTATTTGGTACTTGTTTAGTGGCCTTTGTATGTGGAGAGAATGCTTATTTTAATAGATAGGGTGTAAAAATGTTTTAGGTGAAGTTTCAGTTTCTTAGAACTGTGGTGTTTAATCTTGTTTTTTTAGCAGCATAATTCTTTATTCAAATGAAATCTTAGGGCAATCCTAGAATATAAATCAGATGAAAGTATTGGTTGTGTGAGTGCATTAGAGATGGCTGTTAATCCCTGAAGAATTTTAGGGGTCTATGAATCATTGTTTGAAAATTTCTGCTCTAGAATTTGTCCAAGTTTCCAGTTCCATGTAACACCTGCAGGCTATTGAAGTACATTCTAAGTGTTTTTCTAGATCTCAATGGCCTTTCCTTACCCCTGAACATCATGTAATCTTTGTATTATTGTTTGGAATCAAAAGGAAATGCCTCTGGGCAGTTAATAGTAATGTAAGTGTTGAAATTAATGTTTTTCTTCTAAGCCAACTTGTGGAGAAGGTGTGGGAGTAATTGGAGTCATTGAGTGCAATTTCCTAAAACCTGCCTACAACAAACAAGACTTTGAGTACACCAAGGAGTACCGGTGAGTCAGTCACCACAATTTCTTCAGATACGATTCTGTTCTCTGAAACCTCTAAAATCATCACTAAAAGCCAGCTAGATGAGAAGTTAATTAAGAATTATTTCAAATCTTTTTTCCAAGATTGGAGATAAAATGATTTGATTTTTAAATTAAAGTTTACTGAAACTTATATATGGAGTCCAGTTGAGACAGATGTTATGTTTAGAAATTATAGAAACATCACAGGAATCATTTGGCAAAATATTTCTGGTAAAGTGAAGAACATTGTTGTTCATGTTAGTTTAAAGAAGCAAATGGATATGAATTACTGAGCACATTGTGGGGGAAAATTTTGAAGTTTGTTCTGAAAAATATTCTTGAAGCCAGTGAATAGTTTCAGAAGAAAATGTTGGAACAGCAAGAAAGACATGTGCTTTCATAGAAGCATATAGATTTACTAGGAGAGACAAATAGGTAAGAATCAGAAAGGAACTTGACATTAATGCTGAATCAATAGGGATATTTTAGGAGATGAAGAAAGGAGTTGTTAAAGCCAGGTTAGAACAGGTTTTGAGTTGGGGGAATAGGTCATTGTCAGGGTGCTTACCTAGCTAGCATGCACAAGGACATAGGTTTGATACCTCCTAGGTGTTAAGTATGAGGGACTTGAGGGTGAAAGATAAAGAGTCCTTGATGCCCATGAACAAGTGTGAAAAGATATATACAAACAAGAAACTTAATACCTATAAAATAATTGCTTTACTGGAACTTATCTACAAAGTGAGGAAGAACCTTTATGCCTACAAATCAAGGAAGGCTTCACAAATCAGAACTTAAACTTGAAAGAAAAGTAAGTTTTCTAGGTGTACAAATAGGAGAAGGACATTCTAAGCAGAGGGAAATATATTTAAGAGCACAAAAAGAAAAGAGGTGTTCTTGGAATATGAAAAAAGAAAAGAAAGACATTTGGTATCATTTCCTTTTTTTCTTTCTTTCTTTCTTTTTTTTGAGACTGGGTCTCACTATGTAGCCAAGGCTGGCCTTGAACTCGAGAGTCTCCTGCCTAAACCTCCTTAGTGCTAGAATTGTAGACATTATATACCACCAACCCTGGTATGATATTTTTCGTTGAGGTATCAGCAGCAAGTTTTTTAGAATGAGAGAAATGTGATTTCCCAAATCTAGTTTTTATGCTCCAAACTATAATAAAGTTAAATGATGGGCCTTAACCTATCTAGAATCATAAGAACTTTAGGTTTAGTGTTTGATAAGGAAACATCTATTTAAATGGCAAGTCCAAATTAATTTCAGCATAACTGGGTTTTGGTCAGTCACACATGGCAACTATGTGTCCTCAGTTTAAGTAAATTGGTCTTTTAAGTGCTAGTGTGACCCATAATGGAGATCCTTGACCAGGACTTAAGAGCGAAAGTATGGAAATGACATTGATTTAACAAAAGTCTCAGAGGCCAAGTCATTCTGTTTTGCTTGAATGAAAGGAGTAGTCCCAAATCTCTGTATTTTTAAAATTTGGATACATTAACCCCTTAGTTTTTTTTTTTTTTTTTTTTTTGCGGTACTAGGGCTTGAAATCAGGGCCTGCACCTTGTGCCATTCCACCAGCCCTTTTTGTGTTAAGTATTTTCAAGATAGGGTCTCATGAACTATTTGCCATGGCTGCCTTCAAACTATAATCCTCCTGATCTCTACCTCCTGAGTAGTTAGGATTACAGGCATGAGCCACCGGCTCCCAGAAACCCCTTAGTTTTTGATGTGTAGTTTGGATATGATGAAACTACATTGAAGTCATTGCAGAGGATCCAAATAGATATTCTGTAAACAGTAGATTTATTTAGTTAAGCGTATGTGATTTCTGGCTTAAGTAGTTTAATTTATATTACATATTTTATTAAAAACAAAACTAGTATACTATTCTTCATACAGTTTTTTGAAGACAATAAATTTGTATAATTCATGTCCAATTCTGGCATCATTGTCTTTTTTTCTTTGATGCTGGGGATTGAACCCAGGGTCTTATGTACACTAAACATGCATTCTATCTCTGAGCTATACCCCCAACCCTATTGCTTTTTTATGCTCAATTTATTTTATATAAAATGAAAAGATGTTTAGCTAAAAGCACAGGAATTTGAAGCAGAGTGTGTTGGGGTACACCTGTAATTCCATTTGGGAGACTGAGGCAAGAGGATCATGAGTTTGAGGCCAGCGTCAGCTACATAGTGAGTTCCAGCTCAGCCTGGGTACATAGCAAGACCTATCTCACCCCCGCCCCCACACACGCATCCCAAGAAAACCCAGAAATTTGAGAAAAAGATTAGAGAAAATTATCTGCTGTCACAAACTCATTTTATGAGTATTATAGATAGTAAAACTATAAGTGATAAAAGAGATACCCACCGTCATACTATTGGATTATCTACAAATAAATTGTAATATCATTTTTAACAGTTGTAGGTATCAGATTTTAACTGCAATTATCAGGGTTCAAACTTAAAATATGTTCAGAGTGAACTTTACCTTAAGAATAATGTAATCAATGCAATATTATCTGCTGGTACATAACAATGGCTAAGCTTTGTGGAACTTTCTGGAGAAATTCAAGACATACTTGCTTTAAGGATCTTATGTTTATGGTAATAGATTGTCACATGTATTAAGCAAACTAGAGAGCCATATAATGGCTGATTGATCAATCAAAATCTGGTATGGTATAGGGAAAAATGCCTTCATAGAATAGATAGGGAAGGTTTGGGGATAGAAAGTATGCCTTAAGATGTGACATAAAGAATACTCAATTTAGAAGGGAGAAGGAAGGGAGTTCCAAGATGTTGCATGAGTTAAGGTAGTGACAGGATCTCAGAATGGTAATGATACGGGATATGGAAATAAAAGGATGTAACTGGAGTGAAGGGAAATCAAGTAAGATGGGTAGTGTAGGGCCAGATCCTAGAGCAATGATTGGCAAATATTTTCTGAGAAGGACCAGAAGGTAAATATTTTGGACTTCATGAGCCATAGGGTCTCTTTCACAGCTATTCGAGTCTGGTAAAATATGAAAACAAGTAAGTCCAATATAATTTTGTTCACAAAACAGGCAATGAGTGAGATTTGCCTCCTAGGCTGTAGTTTCCTGACCCCTGTTGTAGAACCACCTTTCCTGAAACATGTGCCAACCTACCCACAATGAACTCATAGGGGAGCCATGAGATATTTTTAAATTTTGAGGTAAATACAGTGATACTCTGTCTATAAACAGTAGAAAGTAATTTCTATTTGTTGTAACAAATTACCACAGAATTATGGCTTAAAACAACACTAACTTACTTAGAATTCTGTAGGTTAGAAGTCTGAAACGGATCTTGTTGGGCTAAAATCAAGGTGTTGGCAGGCTGCATTGTTTTCTGGGGACTCTAGAGGAGAATCCATTTCCTTGCCTTTTCCAACTTCTGGAGGCTGCCTGAATTCCTTGGCGCAAGGCCTTCTTCTCTGACATCAAAGTCAGTAATGATGTGCTGAGTCCTCTGTCATCCCATTTTTTAATTCTCTAATTCTGACTCTTGCATCCCTCTCTTCAACTTTTAAAGACCCCTGTGATTACATTGGATAACTTAGGAAGATCTTTCTATTTTAAGGTCAATTGATGAGTAACCTTAATTCCATTTTCAGTCTTAATTTCCCCCTTTCTGTGTAACCTAACATACTCAGAGGTTTCAGGGATTAAGACATAGACATCTCGGAGGACCATTATTTTATTACCACCATCTGCCCTGTGGCACCCTAAAAGATTCACTTCTCACATGCAAAATGTGTTTACCCTGTCCCAATATTCCCCAAAGTCTCAACCTACGATAGCATTAACTCAGAGTCTAAAATCTCAGCTAAATGTCATCAACTCAAAAGTCCCAAATATAATTATCTAAATCACATATGAATGATACCCTGAATATGATGTATCTTGTGGTAAAATTCTCCTCTATCTATGGATGTATCCCTTCCTTTCTTCCTTCCTCCCTTCCTCCCTCCCTTCATTCATCTATCCAGCTGAATTTCTCACCTAAAATAAGTAGTGGGACAGAAACAAGACACCACTTACACACACACACACATACATACATCCATATATACATACATACACATTTTTCTGGATCAAGTAGGGGGAAAAAGGATTCACAGGTACCAGCTAGTCAAATTCCATTAAATTTAAAAGGTTTAAGAATAATTGGCATTTGCAACTCTGCTCTCTAATCTTAAGGCTCTGCCCTCTGGGCTTACTGTTTACCCTCCAAAAATCATCTTTGTTCAAGAAGGGTAGCATGTGCTTGCATCTGAATAGTTTCATCAGTCCCTTTCCTGACTATATATAGAGTTTTGAAGATTCAGTAGACTTCTTTCGTTATATACTCTTTCCGTCCTTTCAGTCCAAGCTGGAAATTTTTGTGCTTGCGCCATTCTTAAGAACTTTGTGGGTATTCTTCCATGAATGTCATGAATATAACAAGAGGCTCTTGACAGGTCTTTCCTAGACAATCCTGTTTCTATTCTTGGCATCAACTGAGATGGTTGTGGAGATCTGTGAGTCACTTGCTTATTCTTTTCACAGAGCCTTTCATGTAACTGAATATTTTGAAATTTTGATCTCATTTGGATATTATTAAAGGTGGTCCACCTTCACTCTCAGCTTTTTCACTAGAAGCACACTTTCCTAAGAGTGAAATCTCTATAATTTTAATAACATCTTTTGCAGTTTGGATGGGCTGAGAATTTTTCCAGATCATCAAATTCTGGTTCCTTTAATTTATCTTTTTCCTCTTGGATTTTACATATATGGCTGGAGGACACCAGGCCACACCTTCAACACTTTGTCTTGAGATCACCTTAGCTAAGTATTCAGTTTCATCAGTTGCAAGTTGTGGTTTCTGTATAACTGCAGATCATTCTTGCTAAGCTTTCTACCATTATTTAACAAGGATCAGCTTCTCTTGTTTTCCAATATCATGTCCATCATGTCTTTTTTAATTGGCTTATAGTAGTTGGACATAGTAAGGGGTTTCATTATGACATTTCCATACATGAAATACAATGTACTTTGATCATATTCACCCCTCTATTACTCCCTCTCTTTCCCCTCTTTCCATTCCCTATCATCTCCCTAGTAGTACCACCTCTGTTTTCGTGACATTGTTTTTTTTCCCCCCCTAACTTCCACAAATGAAAAAATGTGATACTTGTATTCATGGGACTGACTTATTTTGCCTAACATGATGATCTCTAGTTCCATCCATTTTCCAGCAAACAACATAACTTCATTCTTCTTAGTGGCCGAATAAAACTCCATTATGTATACATACCACATTTTCTTTATTCATTTATCCGTTGATGGGCACCTAGGCTGATTCCATGATGTAGCTATTGTAACGTCCATATTTCTGTTAATAGTATGTTCAGTACAATTTAGACTTTTTCTGTAATCCTCAAAATTCTACCAGCCTCTGCCAATTTTTAGTCATAAACATCCCACAATTTTTGATAGTCACAATTAGCACCCATTTCTAGGTACCAAAATCTGCTACATTCTTTATTATAAAATATCTTTGTGAATCTGGGTTTAATCAGTTTTAAACTTAAACATTGGTAATGAGAGAATTCTGTCATTTTGCTATTTGTTTTATAGTTTTTCTGTCCATCATTTCCTATATTATTGTCTTTTTGTTCAACCGATTTTTGTAGTGAAACATTTAAATTCCTTTCTGCTTTTCTTTTCTGTGTATTCTCTAGCTATTTTCTTTGTAGCTTATCATGGGGATTATGCATAGTATCTCTTTTTTCTCTTCACCTTCTGTACCTCCACAATGCCTATGTTAGGCCATTAATGATGTCTTACAGGATCCTTAAGCTCTTGTCACTTTTCTTCAGTCTCAATAATTTCTTATTTCAGATTCATTGATTATTCCTTCTGTCTACTCAAATCTTCCTTTGAATCTCTCTAGTGAATTGTTTGTTTCCGTTATTGTACTTTCCAGGTCCAGACTTTCTTTTGGTTCCTTTTTAGGTCTCTGTATTACAGTTTCCATTTTGTTCAAATACTATTTTCTTGGCTTTTGTCTTGTCCTCCTTTAGTTTTTTGAGCATCTTTAAGACAGTTGTTTTAATATCTTTGGTAGGTCCATCAGATCTTTTTCAGGGACAGTTTCTGTTGGTTTTATTTTTCTTTTGAAAGGGCCATACTTTCCTATTTCCTTGTATGCATTTAGATTTTTTTCACTGAAAGCTGGATATTTGAATATAATAACATAGTAACTCTGGAAATCAGATTCTCCTCCTTTCCCAAGGTTTGCTGTTTTTTTAATTATTGTAAACTATTTCTGTGCCAAGGATCAGGCTGAAGTGTAAGCTTAAGTTCTTCTATTCTGAACCTTTCCCTGGGAATTCACAATGACTTTTAAATTTTCCTCATATATGTGACTGCTTTTGAATGTCTTAGCTTTTAGTCTGGCTCCTAAAACAGACTGAAAAAAGAGAAAAATGAAGGGAGAAAAAAAGTGCCATTTCTTTGAATTCCTTGGCCATCACTTTAGCTGGAGGAGGAGAGGCTTGTAATAATGGAGAAATTGCAATAAAAATGGCCACTTGGCCTTTTTGTATGTACTTTATGATCAGAAATAGTAATCAGTGATGAGAACACAGATCCCCTGTATTTGAAAGATAGCATCCTTTTTGCCTACCTTATGAGGTTCTTCTTACAGGGCAGGGTGCCTGCCACTACGCTATGGGTGGGAAATGGGTAGTAGTTGTTTACTTTGCTAAGAACCACAGTTTACCATCTGAGAGTTCCAAAATACTTCTCTCAGGCCGATTCTGCCAATGCAGTTCTTGTCTAGGTGAGGAAACAGATTTCATTTGGTTCTTACTCTGCCATCTTCCCAGAAGCCTATCTAATTTTCTTTCTAAAGTAGATTTTAAAAAGGAAACAAGGCATAGTTCTATGCCTATAGCTTGAGGGAAGGATATTAACAAAGAGATAGGAGCATTGGTAGGTTAAAGAAAATAACAGTTGATAGCAGAGTTAATATATGGTTATTATAATCTCGTGTTTGTGGTGAGAATCTAATATAATATGAGTAAGGTAGAGGTAAGGAAGAGTTACTTTTGTGGGAGTAGTACTAGAGTTTGACTCAGAGTCACACACTTGCTAGGCAGATGCTCTACCACTTGATACACACCCCCGTTCCTTTTGGTTTAGTTATATTTTGGATAGGGTCTCTCATTTTTTCCTGGGCTGACCTGGGACCATAATCCTACCTATGCCTTCAATTGCAGGGATTATAGGAGTGTACCACCACACCTGACTTGTTCTATTGATATGGGGAGGTCTCCCTAACTTTTTACTAGGTCTGGCCTCAAACCACAATCCTCCTGATCTCTGCCTCTGAGTAGATGGGATTATAGATGTGTGCCACCAATCCTGTCCCAGAAGAGTTAATTTTAAGAAAACGTCTAAAGCCTTTGAGGAATGATCTACAGGGTGAAGAAATTTTTAAATGTTATAAATTCTAAATTTGTAATATTCCAGGAGTGTATAGCTCTATATTAGGTTGTAATCATGGTCTGTGGAATTAAATAGGAATTATAAATTAAAATTGACCAAGCAAGAATTCATATATAGCCTCCAATAATAGTCGTATACTAAAATGTTGAAAGGAACTTCCCCCACCCCATTATTGCTGTTACTGCTATGATCAGCATTTGAATGCAGAGGAACTGTATAGACATATAAAGTTAATATTTGATTGATTTATAATAGATAGGGTATAGTATTTGATTCTCTGACCTTTCAACTTGATCCTGAATTATTTACCTCTTGTCATTTGACAATTAAGTAACTCCCTATCAACTTAGTATGTGACTCTGTCCTAGTTCTGCAGTTTGGTTCTCTGTTATGGTCTTGTTCACCTTCTCCGTGATTCTATATGTCCTGAAAATTTGTAAGACTACTTTCTAGGTCTTTTGATCATTTTCACTTTTCAGCAAAAGTGACTATTCAGTATTATAACTTTGTCATATGATATGTAGTTTTCAAAGGCAGCAGATTCTCATCTCCCATCTTAGTCTTGTAAGGTTTAGATGTTAAAAACTATGCTGAGTATTCTAAATTGTTTGGCTTCTATTAAATGGGCACATCTCAGAGGTTGAAAAATATTCAGTAAGTGCTGAACTTTGACATACTTCTTGCATTTTCTTTCAGGTTGACAATAAATGCCCTTGCCCAGAAGCTTAATGCTTATTTGAAGGAAAAGACATCTGAAGAGAATTTTGAGACCTTTCCTACAGCCAGGCGAGTACCGTGAGTAATAAATTAAAAAATATGAAAGTAATGTCATTATATCAAATGAAAGGAACAAAGGTGAAATGGTGTTTTCACATCAGGAAATAGGTACAATTACATTATTTTCTAAACCTCTTCACTCCAGTTTAACACTTGTATGCTTTGGATCATTAATGTGAAGCGTTAAGTACTATTAGTTCAGTAGAGACAGTGTAATATAGTGTGGGGGAGTCATGACCATTTAAATCAAACCATCCTGGAATGAAAGTCTACATCTGCTTCTTCCACTTTTTTTTTTGACAGCAGTAGGGTTTGAACTCAGGGCTTCATGCTTGCTAGGCAGGTGCCATTACTGCTTGAGCCACTCTGTGATGGGTTTTTCAAGATAGGGTCTCTGAATTAGTTGCCAGGGACTGGCTTCAAACTGAGATCCTCCTGATTTCTGCCTCCTTAGAAGCTAGGATTATAGGCTTGAGCCACTAATAGTTGAGTGGACTTGGGTCAGTCACTTCATCTGTCTGAGTATGTTGATTAGGTGATATAAAACTTTTAGCAGTGTTGAGACTGAACTGGTATTTCAGAGTAGAAACAGAAAACCTAGTGTACTAGAGAAAAGGTAGAATTTATTGAATCTAAGACAAGGAATTATACAGAGAACAAGATGAAATGCCTAATCGGAAAGGAGCATACTACAGAGGATAGATTGAATAACAATACGTATACAGTTAGTTATACCACCATCAAGACAACGATAGAATGTTAGAGATTAGAGTGCTGCTCTCATTTGGGGGTGGGGCACCTGTGTATTTTTTTAATGGACTCTACCAGATAAATGTATGATGTAAAATTTTGTTCCAAATGCTGTATGTATGTATATTTCCACCTGTTCTAAAGATCTCAGCTCTCATGTCCATCCTCTGTAGTTTCCAAGGAAATTTAAATTAAGATGAGATACTTTTTTTGCCTTTCGATTAGTAATGATTAATGCAGTGAAACAGATGTTCACAAACTGTTAGAGAATCTATGTGCTGGAGGCAGAATTTTAATAATGATAATTATTTCTTGAATATTTACTTATATGTTAGGCATTATTTTTAGTTCTTTACATGTAATAATTATTGCAGTAACTGAGATAGATACTATTCTTTACAGATTTTAGAGAAAGACACACTGAGAGCTTAAGTAACTTGCCCAAGATAAGACACATAGAATATGATAGAACCAAGGTTCAAATACAGGTAATCAGACAGGCACCACAACCTACAAAAGTGGAATTGTCTAGGTGAGACATTGAACTGATTATAGATCATAGTTTCTGGTATCATGGATTTTGTTTAAAATGTTAAAAAATACAAGAAAAAAGGAGTTGGGGTTGTGTAGGGTGCCTCTATAAGAAGCATGAGGCTATGATTTCAAACCCCCGCACCACAAAGCAAATAAATAAATGCATACATAAATGAATAAGTAAGTATACAGATAAATACATAAATAAATAAAATGTTCCTGAGGGGGTTATAGCTGGGGATAGTTAGCATAGTGCTCATGAGGCCCTGGGTTCCATACCCAGTATTGAAGGAAGGAAAAAAAAAAACAAATATAGGCAATCAGAACCCTAAACCTACACTCTTCTGGAGGAATACAGTGAGGGGAGTATATACAACTCCCTTAACTTCCTGTTTACTGCAAGTATGAATTGAAAGCCTCTCCTGTCTGCCTGGATTGAAGGCCCCCCAGGTCTGCATATAACAAAAAGCAGAGAGTTGCTGCCTCTTAAGTGTGCTTGTCCTCAAGAGAATAATACTGGCATCTTTCTGGAAAAGATGCTTATAGAACCAAAACTAGTATGACCTTTTCTTTCCCCTCGCATTACTGCTAAAACTGTTTATTTGCTGGCAATGGCTCTAAATAAAACAAATAGTGACTGTAGAAACATACAGACACCAGAGGTCAGGCCTGAGCCTACAGCTTAAAGGTTGCAAGTCTGGAGTAGCCTAGAGCTAAGAGAAAGGTGTAAGTCCAAAATGTGTACACAGCCTTTTTGTTAAAGCAGTACTTTAAAAAAAAGTTTTATATTTTTTATTATTCATTTATTCACATGTGCATACATTGTTTGGGTCATTTCTCCCCCCTGCCCCTGCCCTCACCCTTAAAAAAGTTTTAAAAGAAGACATTGTATTTTATTTGGTAGAATTATGAGTGCCTTTTATTTTCTTTGTATTTTTCTGTATTTTCCATAATAAGGTTATATTGCTTTTGTAACTAGAAAAAAAAGATTTAAAACAATAAGAAAGTGATTGAAACACTATATAAAGAACTATACCACTTAATTGAAATAACTAATATAAGAGCAATATAAATGCAGCATACACAAAACCCATGATAGTAGTGGTGAAATGAGCCTAAGTTTCCCCTCTCACAGACCTTTCTGTCTTTTCTCCAATCTTCAGTCCTCTCTAACCCCTCTTTCATAACCTAGCTACTGACTATCATGTACAGGCCACCTCTTCACAGAGAAACAAATTCATTTTAAGGTGTAGGTGACTGAATTACACTTAGGGAAGCAGATGGGAGTGAAGAGACATTTTAAGGGTCTAACTCTGGCAAACTTTATCTTAAGTAAATCCAATCATTGGTTTGGAGCCACCATGAAACTTAATCAAAGTTACAGTAGTTTAACGATTAGCTTTGGGAATATCAACCTAATAAAATATTGATTGAAACATTATAAAAAAGGATTTTTTATAGGGCTGGGTATATAACCCAAGGCCTTGAACATGCTAGGCAAGCACTTTACCACTGAGCTACATCCCCAGCCCCAAAGGATTTTTTTGAAAGGGGAAAAAAAAAGAGGAATAGAAAGTGTGCAGGGAAGTGGGGGAAAATGTTTTGATGACAGTGTTTCAGTGGCTCCCATAAATGCATTTTAAATCTGTTACCTAAGTTAATAAACTTTAGAGTTATAAGTATGCTGTTAATTTGCTTAACAAAAGATTCCAGGATAAATGTTATTGATCTGCATAAATAATGGTAGCTTGCCATATTAATACTTAACTATTTTTCATATCTGTATTTGGTATAGTCTATCATTTTATCTACAAAGTTCAAAATATACACATTTTAGACATTTATGCTATAACATTTTTAACACATTCCCTATATAAAATTAGTTTTTTTACACTTTCTACATAAAGTTTTCTAATGTGAGACAATCACAGAGCTAGGATATACACAGTAACACCTCTACTTTCCCTCATTCAGGAAGATTCCTGACCAGACATGGGTACAGTGTGATGAGTGTCTTAAATGGAGGAAGCTTCCTGGCAAGGTCGATCCATCTACATTGCCTGCAAGATGGTTTTGTTACTATAATCCTCATCCAAAATATAGGTAAGGTTCTAGGACTCAGTATTATGCCTGCAATAACTCCCTATTTGTCTTCATATTCCAAGATACTCCATGTCAAATCTACACTCTTCAGCCTAGCATTTAAGCCCCTATGTTGGCTGGCCCCATCTTACCTATCCAGCCTTATTTTTCATTAAACCTTAACACAAAGTCTGTAGTTTAGCCACGCCTGTGGCTTCACCATTCTTCACACATGCCATGGTCACTCTTTCCTTCATGACTTTGAAAGTGTCATTTCTCTTGCTTCCAATTACCTTCTGCATTTTATCTGCCTATCCAAATCATACCCAACTTGGGAGATGAACTCTTGTGCAGCACTTTTCCTGTTGATGATGGCTTACAGTGATTTTACTCTGACTTCCTATGGTATTTATTGTGGTATTTGCTCACATACTGTTTTGGAAAGTGTTTTTTCGTAAGTGTATGCCTTTATTCCTCAAGAGAATTAAAATTCTTTGAGAATGAGGTCTTTACATTTCCAGATTGAGCTGATAATTTTTTATAATGCCTCCTATATGGAATCAATGTTAATAGTGCCTGTTGTATATGAAACACTATTTATTTACATGCTTCTGTTCCTCATATGCCATATGTTCCTTGTAGCATCCATCATCTAAATAGTGTATGGCACATCCACAGGCGTTGACTGCAATTTAACAATTTTTTATTTGACTCAGTCACACATGTTCATAGTAAATGAGTTTTCAGTCCAGCTGTGACCTTCTTAAAATTCTTTTTTTTTTGCAGGATAAATGCTGATATAAAAAAGGTTCAATAACAGAGTATGCTTTTTAGGGAAAATGTTTAAAATGGAAGGTGTAAGCATTCCCTCATCATCTCCAAATGTGCCTTAGCACCTTTCCATGGAGAGTAAACGAGATTGTGAGATTAGAGTATGGAGCTGAGTACTTATAAGTTTCTTTTTTTAATACTTTATCTGTTTACACTTACTTACTCCAGGAAATTTCAGGCCACTTTACTCAAAAGCCTTATAAAACGGGTTTAATGTAGTTTCCAATTGTTACTAATTTTTGTTTGTTCTTAGGATTACTTTTGACCATTGAATAAATTTTCAATACTCTTTCAGTTTTTACTCCTAAAATTCTCTTCTTCGTGCTTTACATATGGCAAGGTTTTGTCCCATGGGTAGGATATGAGCTCTATAATGCCTGAGAGTTGTTAAACTACCCTGTCATAGTTATAAGGGAAGTAAAGGATAAAGGTGAGGAACAAATTTTGTTTCCAAAAGATGATTTCTTTTCTCTGCTTCAGGAGATGCTCTGTTCCAGAAGAACAAGAACCCATGGATGAAGACCTATACCTAAGCAAAGCTAAGCAACAGTTGAGTATATGAGGTGGTATTCTACATCATAGAGTAGAGGAACATGACCCTTTGTAATAAGACAGGGAAGTTTTGAGAAGAGGTATAATTTTGGGGGGTTCTTAATGATTTCCCATCTCACCTCTATGTTCTGTCTGTTCTTTATTCCTTTTTAGTACTTGCAACAATCTCTTGATATCCTAAATGTCTCAACTTGTGCTAGTGTTGTTGTTCTTCCCCCGCCCCATAGAATTTGAAAAGTTCTCAGTAACATTCTTCAGGAAGACCCTAGTTATTCAATGAGGTTCACATTATTTCTAATTTCAAATGAACATTGTAGCTTAAATCTATTGATAATCCATTTCAAACTGAGATGTTTCATGAGTGAACTAAATAGCACTTTTTTTGAGGCAAGGTCTCATTATGTAGCCCAGGCTGGGCTGGAACTTGCTGTGTAGACTGGGCTGGCCTTGAACTTGTCATTCTCTTGTCTCCACCTCCCAAGTCTAAATAGCACTTTTATCTTGTAGAGCTCAAACTGTTGAGAAGAAGATGATGACTGTGGAAAATGAGAACTACCAGGTAAGAGACAAGTCTGTTCCCTTCCTTTTCTCACATTGGTTGAAGGAAGCAGCAATCTTGAAAGCTGGATAGAAATGATAAGGATTTCTTCTCATCTTTTCTTTTTGTCAGACCTTTGAGTTTTGTGTTGCTCTGATATCCAAATTACCTGAAATGGAAGAGTTGAATAATTTATTTTCCAGATGTAGATTCAGTACTGACTTTGGACAGTGTGAATGGTCACATTTGGTGTCACAGAATAGTGAGGGCTATGTTCCATTCTCAGGCTGCTCCTCTTGAGTGTCTGGTTTTCCTGTCTCCTTTCTTCCAGGATTCGGGGATGATTCCTTCCTCTTTTTCTCTTGGGAAGAAGGGTTGGTTCTTTGTGCCTTCCCCCCATCCCTGCTTTCAGGCTGGCTGGCTTTATAAAGACTCTGCTGTTTTGAATTTTCAGGAGCACTGTCTCTCGGACATGGTTGCCCAGCTCCGGACGCTGAAGGGTGCAATAAGGTTGGCCGTCCTTTCAGGGACTCTCCTCTCCTGACAGCCACCATAGCACCCATATATCTTCCCCACCCAACCTTGCCTTTCTGCATGATTTCCTTCTGACCATATTTCCCAGAGTTCTGCTAGTCGCATGTTAGATTCATCTTCCACCCTCTCAGTCAGGGTAGGTCAGACTGGTGAGGAGAGAGGCAGCTTAATACTATTGCTTTTTCTGATATCCTACTTAAACTCAAGCATATGAGCAATCAAGTTTCATACCCTAATGTCTTGGCTTAATAATCTGAGATTTTTTAGAGATTGTGAGATTTCCTAGGACTGCCCTATCCTCATTCAGTTTACCTCCCTGTCTTGACTTAATAGTCTGATAGAGATTGGGAGATTTCCTAGGACTGCCCTAACCTCATTCAGTTTACCTCCCCTTTGTTTCCTTCATCTAATCATTCATACTATTCATAAGCTGGCTCTCCCACAAGATCCCAAATGCATGTGTCTCTATGTATGTATATATGTGTGTGTGTGGGTGCGCGCACACTGTGAATCTGTGTTAATCTTTGGCATGCATTTTTCCCAAACCAGCACAGACACTTGCTGCAATGCTTTTTCCCTCCACCCCTACTCTCATCAAAGACATCAGAAGAATAAAAACCCAGCCTTCAACTGGGCCATCAAAGAGAAGTAGACAGTGATTGTGGGACTGGGTTTATGCTGTGGGTGAATTAGGTCTAATAGCCAATACATGAGTTGGGGGAGGTCTGTTGGTGTCTAGCTGATAAGGTTAATTGCTGAATGTGCCTGGGTCCAGTGTTTCAGTGTACATTACTGCACACTGTTTTGTGTAGGGAACAGTTTTCATTTTATTTGGCCAAGCATTCTTTCCTAGCATCAGAAGGATTGACTCATCCTTTAGTGTTTGGTTTGTATTTGGAATTTTTATGAATTATTTTTCTTTGCTAGGTATTCAGTAATCCACCAAAGATTCCTACTGTTCAAGATATGGCTGGACTTAATGACAAGACAGTTGGATATGAGAGAATTGATAGCCCTATCCTGCTTCCATCTGTTGGAGGCAAAAGCAGATCACCTTCTCTTCAACTTAAGCCTTTGGATTCGAGTGTTTTTCAGTTTTCCAGGTGACTAAAAAAACATGATATGTTGTTAATAGTAAGCCTCAGAGTCTGTTTTTCTGTGGAGTAAGTTGTTATGTCTTATCTTGTTTATATGTTTTGTAGTCACATCGTGGAATTCACAAGGAAAGACATAATTTTGGGTTGATAGAATGATGTATGCCATATATCCACATTACAACTGCAGTGTCAAGTACATATAATTTTGAGGCGATCACATGCTGGTATTGTTTTATTTTTATGTATTAAGTAGTCACAGTGTTTTTTGGAATTGTGTAAGTAAAGTAATAGATGTAACTCTTTGAAAAGCATAAAGTACTATATAAATAAGGTAGTGCTATATAGACAAACATTGTTCATATCCTTAAATTTATAGACATTTAAGTCTTTTGAGGGTTCATAAAGCCTAGCACATGTTGACCAGGTGTAAAAATAGCTAGTAGAAATTTGTATTATTAAGTAAGTGTTATCATTCACTGTTTCCTAGAGTAAATCATTAGTAAAAGTTTAGTCTTGGTCTTTACTTTTTCATCTTCTAGCACCTCATCAATGTTATTTTGTTAGTACTTAGAAAGGAGTATAACTATTCATTTTCTTAAATATTAATAGTATTTGAAGTACTGAAAGATAAGACTGTGCCCATATGGTCATGAGAATGAACTCAATACTACTAGGCAGGGGTTTTTGGGTTTTGGTTTTTGGTGGGACTGGGGCTTGAACTCAGTGCACTTGCTAGGCAAGCACTCTACCACTTGAGCCACTCCACACCCCTGAACTCAGTACTACTAACTATGGCTCCTTGCTTTCTCCTCTCTACTATGCTTCTCACTCTAGCAGGGCCAAACCATAGGACAGACACACAATTCCCATTTAGTAGTAGAAACTAATATAGTCACCAATAATGTGACCTTTACATACTGGGTATGAACTTGTCAGCACCCCTTTTCAGTTTGGATATCTTCTTAACATATTGTAGGATGGAAGCAATAGAAGAAGACATCATAGAATAAATGAAATCCTGGTCCCCCCTTCAATGTTACTGATTTGTTCTTATATAGGTCTTTTTAGCCTTACATAGATAAACATCTGAACAGGTGTGCAAGTCCCCTATTTAATCTCACAGTTAAGCTTAATTCCACAATTAAATCACATAGATAATGGAGGAGCCTCAAGACTCCATGAATACAAGCAAACAATCTCAAGAGGAGGTAAGCTTTTAGGAGTAAAACTAATAAAACTTGTAAAAGGGTTAAATGACAGTCTTATGAAAGCATCTAGAACAGTGCCTTGGAATGTAAATAATGGTGGAACTTTGGAATATAAATAAATAATGGAATATAAATTGAAGGAGAAATTTGTTTAAATACTTTTTTTGATGGTGCTAGAACTTGAACTCAGAGCCCAATGCTCGCTAGGCTCTACCGCTTGAGCCACTCTGCCAGTAGTGTTTGGTATTGGGTTTTTCAAGATAGGGTTTTGAGCACTATTTGCCTAAGCTGGCTTTGAACCCCAGTCCTCCTGATCTCTGCCTCCTAAGTAGCTAGGATTACAGGCATGAGCCACTGGCTCCAGGCTTAAAGGAGAAATTTGTAAGATTGAATTTTGCAGCAAGGTTGTAAAAGTATAGTTCAGCCTTAGTCTCAGTAGTTTGAGCCTAACTCTGCCCTATTCACATCTATACTTTTCCATCTCCCATTGTAGGTTTGTAGGGGTGCACAGTGAATACTGTATGTTTTTGAAGTACCCTGCCTTGGTCTTCTGGACATACTCATGTATTACTTTTGAATCCTTACTCTACTGTTACCAGTTTTCCCTTTTTTCCCAGTGTTTCTTTTTTTAACTCTGCAGTCATTTTCAGTAACCTGAAGAGGATTACAAATGCTAATTTGTGCATTGCTTTATGTATTTTGTGAATGCAGTGCTATAGTACATCCATTAGGTGGCATACTTCATTAGTTTTTTTTGGGATTTTTGTATGAGGCTTTATGGAATGCTCCATCCAGAGTGAGATTTAGGCTGTAGAGGATAAGTGAACTACTTTGACCATTTGAATGTAATTTTAATTTATTACCTTTTTTGTGGTACTGAGGATTGAACACAGGGCCTTGTACATGCTAGGCAAACACGCTACTATTGTGCTGCATCCCCAGTTTATAATTTTAATTTATTAAAATAGATTCTTTCAAGAGAAAGATACATGATACCTGATGCTGCCAACATTATGTTATATAAGGCACTTAGTAAATGATAATAATTGTGTCATTTCAAGCTACACATATGGGGCATTCAGATTGATTGGGGGTCCAGGCAAGGTGGCATGCACTTATAATCCCAACTACTTGGGAAATTAAAGCAGGAAAATCACTTGAACCCAGGAATGCAAGACCAGCCTGGGCAACATAGTGATTCTGTATTAAAATAAATTGAGGAAAATCTTACATTTTATGGGGGGAAATGGAAATGCTCACAAGTTTAATAAAATATACAAGATTTCTGATAAAAAGTGTTAATGGGATAATAGAAAATTCAGTTTGTGGAAATTGCTCTAGGAACATACAGAGCATAGAGAAATATTAATTCAAGAAAATCTAAATCTCAGGAAGAACAGCAAGATTCAATGGCATGTGAACCATGACCTGCTCCCACCCCCTTCTAAACTCTGTTTTATGGAAACTATTTAAGGGAGCTCTAATTCAGGTGGGTGTGGTCAAGAAGATGGGTGCTCTCTCTCCTTGTAATTCCTTCTTTAAAGCTATAATTTCATCTTGGAGGAAGAGACCTCTGACTTTTCTCATCTCCCCCAGTTCTGTATTGTGGAAGCTCTATTATAGGCAGACCCCACTGACTAGGTCTCTCTTTATCCACCCAACTTTCTCTTTTCCCTCAGGCAACCCCCACTTACAGGGTAGAGGTACTCACCCAAGCACAGCAGCCTGACAATACTAGGTGCTGATTGCTTCAACCATAGCTTGCTTGTCGATCAGAGAGGTTCATGCTGAAAAGAACGAGCCACTCATAAAGAAGGGATTTCACACTAGAAGAAGTGGGCTACTGTCTCTGCCTCCTCGGTATTGCAGATATTCTGCTGAGAGAGACAGATAGACAGAGATACAGAGAGGCAGTTCACCTTAAAGGAACTGACTTTATGTGGAAAAGAGTATGGAGAATTCTGTGTCTAAGGGCATTGTCAAAAATAAAAGAGATCATATGGGGAACAATTAAGAGGGCTCTTACAGCTAGGTACTGGTGGGTGGCTCATGCCTGTAATCCTAGCTACATGGGAGGCAGAGATCAGGAGGGTTGTGGTTCGAAGCCAGCCTGGGAAATAGTTTTCGAGACCCTATCTCAAAAAATCCCAACACAAAACAAAGCTAGTGGAGTGGCTCAGATGGTAGAGCACCTCCTTAGCAAGTACAAGGCCCTGAGTTCAAACCCCAATACTGCCAAAAAAAAAAAAGAGGACACTTTTACAACTCTGTAATACAAGTTACAATAAGCAAAATGGTCAAATAATTAGAAGTTTGGTAATAGAAACAGGGACCAACAGTCAAGAATGAGCCTCCTGAGATCATAGTCAATCCTGGGTGTCAGGAAGGCTATGCATAAGTACTGGTTCGTGCCCACTAGGAAGCAATCAGAACAGATCATAAGGTGGACTTGAAAACCAATCCCCAAGCTGCACTCAGATGAAACAACAAAGGACAAGAACCTTGATGTCCTTGGGACTGAAGCACTACTCTGACCAGCTACTGACTAAATAATACTCTGACCTGGGGCAACTCTTAGGAAACCAGGTTTAAAAGTAAAATCACCCACATGCCTGGAAATTTGGAAGACTGTGTACATGCTCAAGGCTGTGCTTTCTCGGGTGATTGAAGAGGGAAAAATCTAAGCTACTAATATGTGACTAAATGTAGTACAAAAACAAACTCCTTGAACTTAGATAGCAATCTCCAAGCCATATACATACATCCAATAGTGAAAGGGTAAAATACAACTGGCAAACAGGGCTTGACTACAGTCTTTGACCAATAAATGGTCTCTGCTGAGCTAGATTGTCAAGGGTAAGAATAAAATCAAGAAAAAGTTCTGAGCAAAAATATCAGAAGTGGCACACTGAAATGGAAATAGACTTCATAGATTGTAGTTAACCAGATTATTAAATAAAAACCAACCAAACAGCAACAATATCAACCCTCAGGGAGAAAGAATCATTGTCCAGAATTGCTATGCTCTATTATCTGAAATGTCTGATTTCCAACAAAAAATTATGAGACATGAAAGAAATAGGAAAAGATGACCTGTACATAAGGGGAAAAGCAGGCAATAGAAACTGCTGTTGAAGAGACCCAGATGTTAGATTTAACAGGCAGACTTTAAAGCAGCCATTTAAAATATGTTCAGAGAACTAAAGGAGACTGTGTCTAAACAATTAAGCAAGGTATAGCAACAGTGTCTCAGCAAGTAGAGAATGTCAGTAAAGGGATAGGAACTATTAAAAAAATAAAGAACCCAATGGAAATTCTGGATTGGAAAGTAGCAATAACTGGCATGAAAATTTCTTTAAAGAGATTCAGCAATTCTTAGAGTTGGAAGAGGAAAGAATCAGCAAACTTGAAAATAAATGAATTTATAGTTCATGCAACCTGAAGAACGCAGAAAGAATGAAGAAAAGTGAGCAGAGCCTCAAAGACAGTATGCACCAGTTATGTATGCATAATAGGACAGAAGGAGAAGAGAGGGGAAAAAAGGAAGAAAAAAAAAGAATAAATAATGGCTGAATCCAAACCCAAACTAGAATTCACAGCTAGATATATTATAATGAGAATATTGAAAGCCAAAGACAAACAAAATCCCTAAAGCAGAAAGCAAAAATGATTCATCATGTATAAGAGAACCCCAATAAGATTAATAGCTAACTTATTAGAAACAATAGAGACCAAAAAAAAGGCAGTGTGATGTTCTATGGTTTGTCCCCACCAAAAGTCATGTGGCTATATAATTGC